ACTGTTTTTTTCCTCGTCTGCGGTGGAGGGAACGGAAGGAATGTTGTGATTGGTTGTCAAGGCAGCCAATCAGAATTTAGCAGCCTCGTCTCTGATTGGCTGGAATTATGGCATATTGTAACGCTGGGTTGTGTTGAGCACGAGAGCTGTTGGCATTTAGAGAGCACTGAGGGCGGGCATCAGGTGAGCAAGCTAGTGAAACGTTGCACGCGCAAAAGAGAAGGTCTGCACACATCCAAAAACGTATTTTAAATGCAAAATTGATTTTCGTACGCTCGAAATACTTTTTTCTTTGCGAAAAGAATGTTTTCTCCACAAAACTCAGATTGCGCGCGTGCAAAATGCACTTTTGTGCACTCAAAATATGATCTTTCGCGCGCAGAAATGTGGCAGAAATGTAATCCCATACAGATCAAGGTAAAAAAATTTCTTTAGGTAACAACTGCACATTGTCACTCTTTACAATGCATGAAACACAGACTGCATAACATACATTTCAATCAAATATACAACAACTCTAGCACAATACCCCAGATTCTGTTTCACGTCAATATTCACAACAAAAACAACAATCAAAACCACTCAACCGCCACCCTCTCCTCTTCATCTGCCTCTCTTTCCTCAGCCATTTTTTTTACAGGGTTCCTTCTGCAGGACCCTCAACACTGCACAATTTGGATGTCTCCTTTATTTTACACACTCATTTCACTTCATAGAGCATTTTACAGATGAACCGATCAATGAAAACCGGCATTTTATCCAAACCGTGTAGTTTTGAGGCCCTCCAAGACCTGGATCAAGAAATACTGAGCTATGTAAGTGCTTCTCAACCCTGTTCCTGAAAAATACACATTTTGGGTGGCTTTCATGTCTCCCGTATCCTAATCTCAACATAAAAAATTCAGCAAGGAAGGTTGATTCATTACATTATGTCATTTTATGGACTACACAATTTGCATTTCCTAATTTGATGTTGTTAAATTATAATAATGTTAATACACCAACATATTTAAGCTACAAAATGTACTGATAGCAACACAGCTGATACAATGGAAGCCCACATGATCACCCACACTGTAAAAAAAGTTTTTTTTAAGTTGTAAACACTCATTGGAGTGTGTTTTACAAGAAAATACTATTTCAGTCTTTATACTTCCAAATTGCACATTTAATTCAACGTGTTACTTTTCCCGATACTTTGTAATTATTTGTGATATGTAGTATTAATTACTATTAACTAAACATCATAAATATTTAAATAATACCAATAATTAAAACAAAAATAATAAAAATACATTTTTGATGGATCACACAGGGAATTTAATTTTTTTCAAATATTTCACTGTAAAATAAACTATGCATGATGTTTTAAATATAATTTTAAAAATCTCTTTAAATCAAAAGGTAATTAAGACTTATTAAGACTCATTAATAAACTTTTACAATATTTTACAGTGGAAAAAAAGAATGTCCACACCAAATACTTAAAGGAGTTAGTACATAAAAATGACTTTGGTGCATGAGACCCCAAAAAACAATACCAAAGTTCAACAAAGAGAAGAGCTTGCACACATAATAGTAGCAGATTTCTTACAAAAAAATTGATTTATAGGCCAAAAATGTGGAAAAGAAAAGTGCAAAGAGCTCAGTGCAAAAACAAAACGTTTTCAATTCACATCATCATCAGTTTTTTTTTTTCCTAACAGTAAATGTATATGTATTGTCTTTTAAATATGCCATTTATTTGCAGAATATAATATGGTAACCTTTTTTTTAAAATATTGTTCTCATTTTAGGTCTTGGAGCATTCATCCAAAATGTGCAGTACTGGGGCTCGTCCAGGACCCGGATCGAGAAGCACTGCTCTACATCAGCACCGCGGACAGCGACCATTCAAACACAAGACTGAGAATACAAGCGCTCAAAAACACTCCGGGTCAACCTGCCTCTCCACTACGCTGCAGGGCCCATTGAAACGATGTTTTAGTGGGATTTCTACACTACAGCAGCTGAGCTGGTGTTTCTGTGCACAGCGTCTGTGTGGTGCCTCAAAACTGCTAAGAAACCTCATGATGACACATTCAATTAAATTGTTTCACTGTAAGGTAGATGAGACCCCTGACGAGAACAATTACTGCACACAATTATATTACTTACTGCGTCGTGCAGGCTCTTTTGGGAACGGTCTGTGGAGATGGTCCTTGAGGGATGCTCGATATAGCCAGCGTGTGTGTGCGTCTGTACGTGTGCGTACTAGTAAGACGACAGGTAAATAAATATGCTCTTTTAATTGCTCGCGCTAGGCGTTCACTACGCACAGCTTCGTATTAAACTTCATCCGCCAACTGCCTCCGTGCGCGTGGAACGATTAATATTGCGTGCGTCGCTTGTGTGCGAGATTACAATTGCTTTTAAATATTCGTGTGATTAAATAACAGTCGAATGTTTTAAAATTACAAAAATAATAATAGTAATTAGAGAACAAGATATACAGTTGTGCTTCGCGTAATGTATTGCTCGATTACAACGAGTGACAACAAATTCAATAAAGCGTACACGCAAAAAAGAAGCCGTGTTAGACGTAAACGTTCACACTGTTGTTTACAAACGTCCGACGGACTGTCGTTTTTCGCAAATCGTACGAACATTAGACGCTAGCGTACTTTCCATGATTCCGTCGCCTAAAAGACTTGCAGGTAAAGAATAAATACCAAATATCGATGGAAATTAAACGGCTCATGAGAGTATCCTCTGTGGAAGCCAGTCAGGACTGAATATATATGATGTAATACCGGCAAAAAAGAAACACGGTAGCTACACACATACGACGAACGACGACGGCTCGCGGAGCCTCCCTCTGCTTCCTCGCGCTCTCGGTAACGTTACTGTCACTCGCTCGCTCGCGACGTCACAGGGCAGTGCGCCTCCCTCTCATCTGCAGTATGTAGTGTGCAGTCCGCTCACTACATGAAGACACCGCCGGTGAATAGAGTGGGAATTAAAGCGCTCATTGGCTGACGGAAAGACAGATGGTGCGCTCATATCCCAGATAAATAGTGCAGACCTCCTCCCTGCGCAGGGTGCATGAGCCAATGGAAGCCCGTGGTCTCCAGATCTCCTCTTCTAGTGAAGTGTCACTTTGATGTATGTAGTCATTCTGTCACTGTATTATATGTATTCGTCGACTGCAGCATCTTGATTCTTTTGTGAGGAACGAAGCCGATTTGCTGGCTTAGTCATTTGGCTGGTTTTATAGCACTGTTTAGCTGGTAGTCCAGTTGAACACCATGGCTTGTCCAGGTCAGGAGACCATAAACCAGTTATAACTAGCAAACCGTCTTAGGCTGGTTTAAGCTAGGTTGGTGCTTCAATTGTTACTTTCTAGATGACTACTCATTCTTCCAGTGCTTTCAAGGCAGCATTGTATTCCCTATACTGGAAAAAGCAGCTCAAGCTTGGATTAACTGGAAGCAGTAATAAATCACAACTTATGTGCTGCTTAATAGCTTATTTAAAATATAATTTACAAATTCACTC